ACGCGCTGGCCATGCCTGCTGCCGAGCCTCACCCGGGGCGCTGCATGGTGCGTGTTTGTGTGTGCCTGAGAGTGCTCCATGGTGCTGGGCTTGGCGTCCTTTTGTGCTGCGCAGTATTTGCCGTAGGAACAGGCCAGAATGTGTGTCCATTCTCCCGTTGGCGGGCGTGTGGTTTCTGGCTGTAATTGCCCGTGGACGTCACGCCCATGGGGTCTGTGGTTTGTTCCCTGGGGTGCAGCTGCCCTGGACTGAGTGCGTCCCCTCTCCCAGGGGCCCCCTGGGGGAGATGATATCTGGGTGTGGGAGGCAATCGGGTTTAGGCAAGGTTCTGGGGTGGGGCCTGTGGAGGAGGAGACTGTGGGGCGAGGACGCAGTAGGAGACAGAGGTCAGCAGGCCAGGAGCAGGGTCAGCCGGCTCCTTGGCCCCGGCCTTGTGGCCTCCAGAGCCCTGAGCCATCAGCAGCTGCCATGGGCACCGCGAGTCCTTCATGTCTTCTCATGTAGCCGGGCTCGCTGGGGCGCTCAGCAAATATTTGTCATTTTGCTTTCATTTAATCTGTGTTTGCTTCAACAGCCAAAGCCAACATCCCGAGAGCGTGTGGAGAGAGGGACGAAGGAAGGGGAGATTAACACGTGTGTGCTTCCGTGTGTGTGTGTGTGTGTGGGCGGCGCCTTACCTCTGGGGTCCCCTGTGGAGGGGACGTGCTTGGTGGGGAATCCCCGGTGGACTCTGAGACCTGAAGAGCAGTGGCCTTGCAGGGGAGAGAGGGCAAAGGAGGAAGCTTCTCGGCCGTGGCCGTGGCCGCTCAGGTGCGGTGCTTACCGTCAGCTGCCACCCACGATTTTCCATGCCGTCACCGCCGCCGATCTCCAAGGTTATGAGTTATGCCTACTTTCCTTTCTTTTTAAGATTGATTTATGTATTTGAAAGTCAGAGTTACAGAGAGTGAGGGAGAGAGAGAGAGAGAGAGAGAGAGAGAGAGAGAGAGAGGTCTTCCATCCTCCGGTTCACTCCCCAGATGGACGCATCGGCCGGAGCTGTGCCGCTCTGAAGCCAGGAGTCAGGAGCTTCTTCCAGGTCTCCCACATGGGTGCAGGGGTCCAAGGACCTGGGCCATCTTCTGTTGCTTTCCCAGGCCACCAGCAGAGAGCTGGATTGGAAGTGGAGCAGCCGGGACTCGAACCGGCACCCATATGGGATGCCAGCACTGCAGACGGCAGATTAACCCACTGGCTGTTGGGGAAGACCAGGGAGGCCTCCCACAGTTGCTGGTGAGCTCAGGAAGCCAGCACGTGTAGCAGGGGCTCCCGTCTCTCAAACACAAGCACAGAGGGCCTGGCTGGTCCTGTGCTGGGCCAGACCACTGGGGCCAAGCCATGCAGAAAAATATAATAATTTCAAAGCACAGATACGCCGTATGCCAGCTCTCGTTTTAAAAGCAGTAGGAGCCGTGCAGAACACCTGTTTGGGTTTGCAGGCGTCTTCTCCCGCATACCAGTGGATCTGAAATGGAGGCTGGGCAGGCCTGGGGGGAGGGCGGGTAAGGGACCCCAGGGCTGCGGACGGGGGCCTCGCTCCCCAGCTCCCCGGCACGGCGGCTGCAGCTCCGTCACCTGTTCCGAGCCTGAACAAAGACCGGAAGATGCTGCTCCTGCATCTCCTCTCTCCTCGCGAGAAGGTGAGGGGCGCGCTAATGTGTAGTCTGATCAGTTAACGCCGTGTCCGTGTGCAGGTCCCTCGCGCCCTGCCGCATCACCACACACAAGACAGCTCACGGGACCCCGGCCGAAGACGCCGAGATAACCGGCAGGACGCGCCGGCGGGGCGCCCACGCTGGGCCTGGTTTAAAGCCGTCACACAGGAGACCCTTCCTCCCCTCCCCCGGGGGGAGCCCAGCTGTCAGGGGGCCGCAGCTGCGCCGTCAGCTCCTGGTGAGTCGGGGGCTTCCCAGGCCTTGAACTTACTGTTTTGGTCCCCTAGAGGCAAACACGCACGTTTTCTGGAGAGTTTTCCCTCACTGGCCTGGAGCTCAGACACGTGCCGCTGGCGGCCAGCTGGCCCGGAGAGAGCGCCCTGGGCCGGGGCCAGAGGAGCAGCACCCAGAGCCCGGAGCGGCTGTTGCAGGATCTCTCTCTCTCCAAAAAAGAAAAGAGAAGAAAAGAGAAGAAAAGAGAAGAAAAGAGAAGAAAAGAGAAGAAAAGAGAAGAAAAGAGAAGAGAAGAGAAGAGAAGAGAAGAGAAGAGAAGAGAAGAGAAGAGAAGATACATGAAAGCGGGCTTCAGGAAATTGTAAAAAACAATACCATAGCATTTTTGGGAAAGAAGCAAATAGAATTTCTAGAATTAAAAAAAATAAAATGCAGTAGCAGCCACACCCCCAAAGCTTTGTGAGCCGGTGGGACCGCAGCTTCCACACAGCTGAGTGCAGGCCCAGAGACCTGGAGCGTGAAGTCGGGAGCAGCTGAATGCTGCCCGATGAGAGGGGGCGAGCGAGGCTGAGGGCACACGGGGCTCCCGGGAGGAGGACTGAGAGCGCTGCTTCCAGAAATTTCCAGGCAACACCGCACCGTGAGTCTCCGGTGGGTGATGAGCACGGAAAGCAGAATTCGCTTGGTTGTTAAGAAGCCGAGTGTGTTTTTAAAAATGGCACGGGGCCGGCGCCGCGGCTCACTAGGCTAATCCTCCGCCTTGCGGCGCTGGCACACCGGGTTCTAGTCCCAGTCGGGGAGCCGGATTCTGTCCCGGTTGCCCCTCTTCCAGGCCAGCTCTCTGCTGTGGCCCGGGAGTGCAGTGGAGGATGGCCCAAGTGCTTGGGCCCTGCACCCCATGGGAGACCAGGAGAAGCACCTGGCTCCTGGCTTTGGTTCGGTGCAGCGTGCTGGCCATAGCAGCCATTAGGGGAGTGAACCAACGGAAAAAGGAAGACCTTTCTCTCTGTCTCTCTCTCTCACTGTCTAACTCTGCCTGTCAAAAAAAAAAAAAAAAAAAAAAAAAAAAAGGAAAGTGATTGACACCTGCTGTAACGCGGGTGAACCTTGAGGACGTGAGGGACACAGGCCACTGGCGAAGGGACAACAGTGACTCCGCTGAGCTGAAGTCTCCGGAGCAGCCAGGTGCAGACGGGAAGGGAGTGGGAGGAGTCCTGGGGAGGAACTGGGCGGTGAGAGCAGAGCAGGGCTCCAGCTTTGCAGGACGGGAACTCTAGAGACCGGAATCAGAACGCACTGAGCCGTGAGCTCAAAGACAGCAAGTACGGATACTTACTTTCTTCTTCTTTTTTAAAGATTTATTTATTTATTTGAAAGTCAGGTTACATAGAGAGAGAGAGAGAGAGAGAGAGAGAGAGAGAGAGACAGAGGTCTTCCATCCAATGGTTCATTCCCCAGATGGCCGCAACAGCCGGAGCTGTGCTGATCCAAAGCCGGGAGCCAGGAGCTTCCTCCAGGTCTCCTACGTGGGTGCAGGGGCCCAAGGACCCGGGCCACCTTCTACTGCTTTCCCAGGCCACAGCAGAGAGCTGGATCGGAAGTGGAGCAGCTGGGTCTCAAACCGGCTCCCATATAGGATGCCAGCGCTTCAGGCCAGGGCGTTAACCCACTGCGCCACAGTGCTGGCCCCCGGATATTTATTTTCAAAGATTTATTTTATCTATTTGAGAGGAAGAGACAAAGAGATCTTCCACTGTCTGGTTCACTTCCCAAATGGCTACAGCAGCCAGGGCTGGTCCAGACAGGAGCCAGGAGCTTCCTCCAGGTCTCCTGCACGGGTGCAGGGCCAAAGCACTCGGGCGTCTTCCGCTGCTTTCTAAGGTGCATTAACAGGGAGCTGGATCAGAAGTGGAGCAGCCGGGACTCGAACCAGCTCTCTGATACAGAATGCCGGCAGGGCAAGCGATGGTTTAACCCACTGCATGACAACACCGGCACCAAAGTAGTAGATTTTATGGAATGCGATTTTTTTCTCTCAGTTTTTAAAAAATGAAAGCAAACCTAGAGTAGAGGCCGCAGCCGTCCCATCTGGTGAGCTGACGATGAGAGCGGGGTTCTTGGTGGGCTCCTTGGTTTAAAGTGTTGCTCGGCACTGTGTGGAGGGCGGTTTCTCGGCATTGCCACACGTGCGGCCCCGTGCTGGCGTGCTGCTCCGGGAGTTAGCAGACCACGGCCGTCCTCCGGTCCCTCTGATGGGGCACACGGCAGGTGGAGGTGAATCGAGGAACAAGGTCACGGCGTGCCCAGGACACATGACAGGAGCGTGTCAGGGACACAGACCGTGATGGAGGGAGGGCGCACGTGGCACTGCCCCGGTGACAGCCCACAGGGGTCCTCGGGTTGCGTGACTGAAGCCCTGGGCTCTTTGGGAGCGGACAGCTGCCCAGAGTCAGCTGGACTCGATGCCGACTGCCCCAGGATGCTGTCTTTCCGCCAGAGTGACTGACTGTCCTTGGAGCCTGGGCTTGGCCCTGGTGGACCAAGGCCACCGTGACTGCCATGGCCAAAAGCGTGGTAAAAGCCACACGGGTGTTTTGCGTGGACAGGGAGGACCTTGGGACGCCTGCCCCCTACCCCTGGGACTGATTTCTGTGCCAGAGAGGACCTGCAGGCCTGGCACTGTGACCGGCGTTGTCTCGGGAGGAGAGCAAACAGGAGGTGGGACGCTGGCCTGGGATGCACACAGCGGAAGCCTCAGGGCCGTGACGGACGCATGGGACTGTGCCGGCTCGCAGGCTCCGGCCGCACTGACCTTGCGGCCACTTCGTGCGTTAGGGAACACGGTGTCGTTCGTGTCGTCCCCTCGGGGCAAAGTCCGCTCTGCTGCCTGGGCGTCTCGGCTCTGGCCTGAGGTCAGCACGCTGTGGCTCATCCTGCCTCCGCTGCCGGACACCTGCCTGCCCCGCTCTGCCTGGCAGTTGGGTGACCTTCACGCCTGTCGGGTCCCTTCCTGATAATTACCCAACCGGCTGGGCTGCTCACCTACCTGGCCCACCCCTGCCCCGCCCTCACCTGGCCCGGCAGCTCTTTGCGCCCTGCCCCAGGGCGTGACCCGGCCACTTCCCCAGTCTGTGCCGCGCCTGCTGTCCTGGAAGCAGTCACCAGAGGCCGGGCAGGCGGGAGCAGCACCTGGAAGATGCGCCCTGTGGCTGCCGGTGAGTGGAACCCCCCGTGGGAGGAGGGGCGGGGGAGCCCCGGGCAGAGGAGGCTCACCCTCACCCCTCGTGGGACCACCATGGGCTCAGAAGGGGGCAAACAGGCTGGGCTTTCTGGGGCTCCCCCTGCCCATCCGCATGTCCCCAGGCACAGTTGGTGAATGTGGCTGGCACCTGGATAGGGACACCATCCCGGGCCCCACCTGGACCTGGCATCTCCACCCCCAGGTTGGGGAGGGAGGAGGCCCGTGCCTGCCAGGGCGCCCTGCCCGGGGACTCAGGGTCAGCCAGGGGCCACCCCAGTGCCAGGGCACCGTGGACTCTACACACAGCTCCTCTGGCTGCGGTCAGGAGTCCATAGCCCCGTTCCAAGCTGACCAGGAAAGGGTGGGCACAGAAGGGCATCCATTTAGGACCCCTGGGGGCTGAGGGGGTTGGGGGCCGGGGAGTGCCAGCTGCCGAGGAGGGCGGTCCCACGGCGTGCTTTTACGAGGCTGTTTCTGTTTATCCCCCGATTTCCAAATGACACGACACTGCGGAGACTCGGGAAAACAGCCAAGCAGGAAGGAGAGACCTGTTGTCTGCAGCAGCCGGCTCGGCTCTGCACGCCGCTCTCCTAAAAATGCCGTGATTTGAGGTGGCTGCCGCACGACAGCGCCTGCACGCGTTGTGGGCGCAGGGCTGTGGTCTGGGACGAGCACCCAGCCAGCCCCTTCCGGGCTCCCTATGGGCTGCAGCTGTCCCTGTCCTTGGGAGTCCTGGGTGCTGGGGTAGCCGCTGCAGCCTCTGTCCCTGGCGCCTTTAACCCTGACCCTGACCCTGACCCTCACCCTCACCCTCACCCTCCCGGTCCCTGCTGGGGCAGGGCGCTGGGTCCTGGCAAGCATGGCGCTCCCAGATGGAAGGTTCCCTCGGCTTCTTTGGCAGGTCCCAGCCCCCTCCCTGGGTCCCGGCCCTTCTGCGGTGAGGGTGTTAGACTGAGCACCGGCCGCGCCCTGCCACACAGGACGCCAGGGCGTTCTAACCTCGCCTTTCCAAATGTGACAAAGCCAGATCTTAGGGCTTTTGGCCTTTCCTGTAAGCTATTTGTATTTCCTGTAAAAACTGCTTGTGAGCTGTTTTTGATAACTTGTGTGGATTATAGGATAAACGGTGGAAACACGCGTATGTGTTTATATAAGGAGACTTCAGAAAGGTCGTGAAAATGGGTTAAGAGATGAGCTTCTCTTGATGCAAAAATCTTGAAAAATTCACCGTGTGCATTTTTCATGAGCTTTTATAAGACCCGTGGTGTGCACGGTGCTTTGCACACCTGCATATAATCGTGTGCGTGTGTGTGTATATATATGATCATACGTGCGTAGATGACAGAGGCGAGTGACGACAGAGTGTCTTAGTTTGTATACGGAAAAGCTGTTTGGGCCAGCACTGTGGCACACTGGCTTAGGCAGCCACCCGCAGTGCCAGCCTCCCGTGTCACAGCACTTCCTCCTGCTCCACTTCCCATCCAGCTCCCTGCTCATGAGCTGGGGAAGGCAGCAGAGGACGGCCCAGGTCCTTGGGCCCCTGCACCCGTGTGGGAGACCAGGCTGGAGTTCCTGGCTCCTGGCTTCAGTCTGGCCCTTGCAGCCATCTGGGGAGTGACCCAGCAGATGAAAGATCTCTTTCTCGCTCTGCCCACCCCTCCTCCCCCCCGGCCCATGGCTGCCTTTCAAATAAATAAAATCAGTCTTTAAAAATAGAACCTTCTGATGTGCACACAATGAGGGGACTACACGGGCGCGTTTCTCAGAACATGCCCCGCTGTAAACCGTGACATGTGACTGGATTTACAGCACCTCCCTTATGGCGCTTTTGTCTTTTATTTATTTGAAAGGACAGAAGGGGGAAGAGAGAGAGAGAAATCTCCCGTTCGCTCCCCAAATGGCCACAACAGCTGGGGCACGGCCAGGCCAGCCAGGAGCATGGAGCTCCACCCGGGTCTCCCACGTGGGTGGCAGGGACTCAGGACTCCAGCCATCGCCATCTGCTGCTTCCCAGGGTGCAATTAGAGGAAGCTGGACTTGAACCCGGGATGCAGGAGCCCCCAGCTGTGGCTCAGCTGCTGGACTGAACGGCCGCCCGCTGACTTGGGTCCCCGCTGTTGTGTGAGAACGTTGTCTCGTTCCTCCTGCGTTGTGTAACTCGGGCATCGTGTGCGCCCTCGTGGCTCAGCCGTGCCTCGCGTGGGCCCCCCACACGAGCTCTGAGACCGCGCCGGCTGGGTGCCTCTCTGGGTGTGTGCACTTGTGGGGCGCTCAGAGCCCTGTTGCTCCAGATGTCCCGAGGGAAAGATCTGGCCGCGTTCCTTGCTGCTTCAGCCTCGTGCCGGGTGTGTCCAGGGAGTGGGGTCAGGGTGAGGCCAGTGCCTGGCCGGGAGACTTGAATTCACGCAGTCGGCAGGCAGGAAGTGATGTCAGCACAGGCGTGTGGCGCCCAGAGAGCCCTTGCCTGGCGTCCTGGGGCTGGGAGGAGACAGAATCCCAGGACCCCCTGCCCCCCAGAGCTGGTTGGTGCCCGTGAGTTTGCTTTCTTCCTGGCTTTGCAGTGAAGGGGCCAGGACCTGCTGAGACCCTGTGGATGTGAGAGTAGGGATCTGGGCAGGGTACATGCACACGCATGCACAGGCATGCACACACGCACATGCACACGCTCACACACGCATACGCATGCACAGGCATGCACACATGCACACACATGCACACACGCACACACATGCACACGCACACACGCATACACAGGCATGCACACACGCACATGCACACGCACACACACGCATGCACACACATGTGCAGGCACACAGAAGCAGCATCTCTGAGAGGAAGCTCCTGCCCTCCTGCCTGTGCCGGAGGCTGGCCGTGGCTCTGACGCTGCTGTGTGGCTGCCGGGCAGCAGGTGCGTGCAGGAAGTTGACCCACGTTCCCTTTATCACCGGACGAGAAGAGGCGGGTCCCGTCTGCAGAGTCCCAGAGGGGATCCTGGGCCTGTGACCTCCTCCCCCAGCCCTGAGGCTGCGGCTCCCCTGCCCACCAGGACAGGCGCCTCGGGGTCCCGGGGGGCGTGGGGCGCCTGTGCAGGTGCAGCAGCAGGGCTGTGTGGAGGAGAGCCGAGGGGGCTGCCTGGGGGCGAGGGTCCCGGGGAGCCCGCAGCGGTCTCCTCTCTCCCTGCAGCTGGTCCGCAGGCTTTGAGGTGCCTTCAGTCCTAGAAACGGCAGTGCAGTGGCCACCCTGCCGCGCGGCTCTCCCACCCCTGTGTACTGTCCCAGCAGTCTGGGGTCTGTAAGATAGGAGGCAGAAAAGTGGTGCTGAGATGGCCACGGGCACCAACCAGCTCTGGGGGGCAGGGGGTCCTGGGAGTCTGTCTCCTCCCAGCCCCAGAACGCCAGGCAAGGGCTCTCTGGGCGCCACACGCCTGTGCCGACATGGAGGTGAAGCGGACACGCGCCATTCTGAGTGCAGAAAGCAGAGCTGCACATGGGTGGGGAAGGCTGTGCTCAGGGGAAGGACGGGACCTGCAGGTGCTGGCAGCGGGGTGTGGCCGAGGCCCGGGGGACACGGTGGGCAGAGGAGCCGGACCCACGCCAGGCTGGGGAGGGGGGTTTGGGATTCAGCAGCTGCTGGGGACGGGGAGGAGGGCGGGAAGGAAGCCGAGGGCTGGTGTGTGGGGCTCTGATTGTCCCCCAGCCTCAGCCACGTGGGCCGGGGAGCTGTCTGTTGGCCAGAGGCGCGCTGAGGCAGCTCAGGGGTCTTGCAGGAGAGCAAAGCCCCGGCGTGCTCTGAAACCCTCTGGGTGTCCAGCATTTCTGGGCCATTTTGCCCCCTTGCCCCCGCTGCCACCCCCTCAGGTGAGAAGTGTGCCCTCCCCCGGCACCCAGCTGCAGACTGGGGGCCACCTGCACCTGCGGCTGACCGGCCGTCCGTCAGGGGGTCCTCCTGAGGAAGCTGGAGACCCGAATCACCGGCAGCCATCACAGCTCGCCCTGGAGGTTATCTGCTACATCCACTCCCGCGGCTGCTGCCGGCCCTCCGCTGCCCACGCTGCCGCAGCCCCGGGGCGGACGGCTCGTCCAGGGGGTCAGGACCTGCGCCCGCAGCGGCCTCTGTCTGTCTCCAGGTGCTTTCAGGGCGCTGCTCCTCGTCTTGGCCTCCGTGTGTGCCTGGTACTCCGGGTACCTGCTGGCAGAGCTCGTCCCAGACGCGCCGCTCTCCAGTGCCGTCTACAGCATCCGGAGCATCGGGGAGAAGCCCGTCCTCAGAGGTGAGTGCCATGCGCAGCCCCCGCCCTCCCTGCCCCCACTGCTTTGTGCCGAAGAGGGGGAGGAGGGAGATGAAGGTGGCTTGTACACGCACTCGTGGAGTCCCCACTGCAACCCGAGGAGGTGCCAGCGCACGCCCCACGTGAGCCCAGACCTGCAGCCTGACCGTGAGCCGTCCTGGGAGGAGCCCAGTGCCACGTCCCAGAGTCGCTGTAAGGTGCCACGTCCCAGAGTCGCTGTAAGGTGCCACGTCCCAGAGTCGC